ACAGTATGCGATATGCACGCCGGTAGCGCGCCCTTAGCGCGGCCGCACTAATTTTGAGGCAGTTTTACTGCCATTTAGCGCGGTCAGTAGCGCGGGCAGGCATCCAGATGCGCGGGCGCGCTAGTGGGGGTCATTTTAAAGCTATATTTCTTCCCACACAGCCCCAAAACATAAAAACTTGATGTAGAAAGGAGAACTCTCAAAAACCTAACTCCCTAAGGGTTCTTCCACCACCCAAGGTAAGTTCTAATGGTGATTCTAAGTTAATTTCAATATCCCAACATCTTATTAACATGGTAAACCCTCCATATCATTAGATATTCATTTGAGGCATCATTGTTGAGAGAAGAAACCCTAGAACTCGAATTCAAGAAGATAGAATGTCAAAAAGGTAATGTTTTCACCCTCTAATTGATTCTAGCATTGGATTAATGATTATTGACTCAAGTTCATGAGATATGAGTTAATGGGTTTGATAGAAAAACACGAACAATTATAGGTTTGGCTTGTTGATTGTTGATTATTGGTTAATGGTGTTGTTTATCTTAAGAGTGATAAAGAATAATGTTGATTATAACTATTTGAGACTTTAGAATTTATCTAGGAGCAAGAGAATGGGTTATTGGGTGTAGAGACACCATTAATAAGGACTATGAAGCTTTATGTCACCAAGTGTTTGAGAAAATGCCTAAGTGACCAAAACTTGAGTATTATTGCTAATACTTAATTCCTTTGACTTGTATTGATATAGATTGAAGTTGAAGGGGGTTGGCGAATGTTGTATTATGCTCAAGAGCAGGAAGTTAAGGTATGTGAGGCCAACTCTCTATGTTTGGTAATATTAATGATTCTCCCTACACTACGTTTCTTTTACGATGTATCAATTGCCTCAAAAATATAGTTAAGCCTAGTTCCTTGAATAGTTGTAGAGCTTCTATTCTCTAGCTTCATAACTCGTTCATGACTTTCATTCTGAACATTGTGAGCTCAATGTGTATTCAATATAGACTTGGGCTTGATGCCCCTGAGTCTTAGTATAGATTACTCAGTATGCCATAAACAGTTGAAGTTTCAGTGTTCATAATTAGTTCAAGAATACATGTCTCAGTCTAGTCCTATTCAGTATTCTAGTATTATGTAACTCAGGGTGATCCAGTATTCCAGTATTATGTAACTCAATGTGATTCAGTATTTCACTATCATATATTGCAGTATGATTCTCAGTTCCTGATTTTAAATCCCTGAATGTTGAACACTTGTATTTGGGCCTGAGGCCGCAGTTTATGCTTTATGCATTTTGGACCTGAGGTCGCAGTTATGTATACGATACTTGGGCCCGAGGCCGCAGTTTGTGCACATATATATATTGGGCCTGAGGCCGCAGTTTAATATTCAGATAAACAGGTTGTTTATCATTCAGAAGAGGGAGTATTCATATCCTTACTTCCTTTCAGTTCAATTATTAGTTACCGTTCAGTTATCAGTTATCATATCAGTTACCAGTTATCAGTTCAATTATCAGTTCAGTTACTAGTTATCAGTCCAGTTATCATTTATTAGTTATCATTTCATTTATTAGTTATCAGTTATCATTTCAATTGTAGTTTCAATAGTTATCATTTCAATTATCAATTATCAATTCTCAAATATCAGCTTAGTTACAGTTTCAGCATTTATAATTCTTTCTTTCAGTTGCCTTACATATCAGTACAATTCAAATGTACTGACGTCCCTTTTTGCCCAGGGCCTGCATCTCACAATGCAGGTAATGATTTACAGGTCGACGACGCAGAGCGCTAGGATTCTCTTACTAGCTATTTGGTGATACCCGGTTCTTTCAGGGCATTATCATTACTTTACAGCCTTTCAGTATTTACAGATAGTCTGTGTTTTCAGTACTTCAATAGAGACTTTATAGACTAGAGTAACAGTTAGACAGAGTCCCAGACTTTTCATGTTAAGCCATGTTGGCTGCAAATATGTTTTAGAATTTTATTACTATTTCCGCACTTTGATTTATATCATCCAGACTTTCAGTATATCAGCATGTGTTAGTTTATCTTCCGCATTCAGTATGTTATGATACCACATGTTGATTCAGCTAGCCAGTTGGTTCGCTCGATCACATGTAGTTAGGCACCGAGTGCCGTGTTACGTCCAGGCCCAGGTTCGGGGCGTGACAACTTATAAGGGAATAATTTCTTCAAAATTTTAGATTCCAGATCGATTCAAATATAAAATATTCTATTTGTCATTTTATTTTAAATACAACTGTGCTTAGATAAGAAAACTTTTATGATAAATAAAATTTATTTATGATAAGCATATAATCATAAGTTATAATAATTAATAAATTGACAAAAGTTTCTAAGTAAAAAATAAACCAAATTAAATATTTGAAGAGAAACAAATAATGTCTTCATCACCACAATATTTAGAAAGTAATGCACCAATTTTTATTTATTTATTAGATATAGTTTAAAGATTAATGCACAATCACATAGATATAAATATGCAAAGTAATAGAGAATTTGCTTATCTTAAATAGTCAATGAGAATTACAGACTTGAAGAGCCTGTNAGCTTATTTTTTGCTTATAAGCACTTTTAACATTACCAAACGCGTAGATAAGCCAAAAAGTGCTTATAAGCTAGTTTGACCGTCTTATAAGCTTAGTCAAACACCCTCAATATAAAATAGTTAAGAATGTATATAGGCGAACTGAATATAATGTATACAACCGAATTGAATAGAGCTGTATACACCTCTATTTCTTGATTTTTGTTGTTTAAATACAACTGAATTCAATATAGTGAAATTGAATACAAGGTAAAATATATAAGAAAGAATACATCCAAATAAAATACTGTGTATACAATCGAATTGATATGCACTGATTTATTGCATTTTCCGTTATTAAATAGTTATAATCCTTACTTTTTAGGAGGATTACCTTACTGTATTTATAAATACAGTCGCACAAATACATGGAATACATCACAGTAGCAACAAAATTGTAACTGCGGCCAGTGAATATGAATATTGTAGCTATCGTACATTAACAACCACTTAACACATACAAGCTCAACACCGATAGTGTTGCAATGGAAAATCCTTGGAGGGGAGGACTGGGAGGAGTCTTCAGAAATGCAAGTGAAAATTGGGTCCTGGGCTACATGGGATCTATCCAGCACACCACTAACACTCAGGTTGAACTGTTAACACTTCTGAGAGGCCTGCAAATTGCAGAAGAAAGACAGCTAACACCACTGGAAATAAACATTGACTCTACTGAGGAAATCAGAATGCTAATCAATGAAAATCTTATCTTTGACTCAATTGTTTCTGAATGCAGATCAATCGTCCAAAGGTTAAGCGCCATGGTGGTGAAGCACGACTATAGGGAGACCAACAAAGTTGTTGATCTAATGGCAAAGGAGGGCACTAAGAATGACTTTTTTGACAGTATTTTTGTAACAAAAGTTTCTCCGGTATTTGCCACACATATTTTTTGGGCCGACATCGCAGGAACTACGTTCCCAAGACAAATTTTGAAATGTAATATTGACAATTATGGTCACACTGAGGGGGAATTAGCGTACCCACAAATAATGCTACTGTTTTACGCCCTAACGGATAGTTCTTTAATTTAATGCAATGCACCCGGTTAACCAAAAAAAATATTTCCATTTCTACAGTTCTCCAAATTTGTTCAAGAATAAGACGTGCACTTTACAACAAATATTAAAAATGTATGGTCTTCACCAACTTGGCAAAATAAGCAGTCCCTTCTCCACACGTGGAAAACATATATTGTCTTAAAGAAATAAAAACAAGATTAAAGTCCATGTTATCCTACGTATCCTTCTTCTTTTGTCGGTCCACCAAATCACTATTGTGGTACTCCATATGAAATCACATTCCACAATAAATATTCTTATGATACATACCTCCATCTTTGTGCACGAATTGATGACTAATATAGAAGATCTAGCCAGAGCCAGGTCCAAAAATTTAAGTTTATAGATTTTTAGCGTGATATCAAATTAATATACAATAATACCCGAATCAATGAATTGGTTCCAAGCTATACATTTTTATACATTTAAGGTCTGTTTAGTAAGTCATTCAGTAATTAAAATTGGTGTAATTACACAACCTAGTAATTATGGCAACATGTTTGTTTGTCATAACATAATTACAGTGTAATTACAAGCGTATTCTTTGCACTACAAAGAAAAACAGCGTTTAGCGACGGAATTTAGCGACAAGAGATATTCCGTAGCTACATAACGACGGATTAGCGACGAATTTTGTAGCTTGTCGCCAAATAAGCTACAAAAAGAATTGCATTAAAAATAGCGACGAAATAGCGACAAAAACCAATATTTGTCGCTAACATTGGCGCTAAATATTAGCGCCTTTATTTTACCTACAAAATTAGCGATGAAAGTGCGGCGACAAAAAGTATTAAAATCTAGCGACGGATTTGACGTCAAAAAATCCGTCACTGCATTCATTTTAGTTATCAAGATATTCCAAAGTTGACTGCGACAAAATTTTTCGTCGCTAGTTTCCTTAAAATAAAGCTTCATTAGATGATAGTAGCAACAGAAATTTGGTTCGTCGCTATTTCGTTGCTAATATCTAGTTCCATTAAAGTAAATTTTCATTAGTTATTATTAGCGACAGAATTTGACCCGTGGTTATTGCCGTCGCAAAAATTCCGTCTAAAAAATAAAAATAACTTGGTCAAAAGACAGACTATTCGAACAATTAGGGCAACGACCCACTTTCTCTCCTCTCTATCAGACTCCTTCACTCCTTCAACAATGTGAATTTTTTTTCTTCAAATACAAAAGTTGGGCGTGAATCTAGGGTTATTGTATGAAAATTAGAAGAAAACATTCGAAATTGCAAGCTTTGTGCTGCATAACTCTGAAATTCGAAGTTGTATGTTGCTGCTCCGCAAGATTCTCAGGCGAAAGGGTAAGCTTCTTTGTGATTTCTCTTCTTTCTCATTCTACAGATGACATACAAAAACTGTTGGGTTCTTCTTAAGCATCTAGGTCTGCATCCGCTTCCACCTTTTTATTTCTTCCTAATTTTAAAAAAATGGTAAGTTTATACACTTATTTTCCATTGATAGATATACTGTGAATAGGCATCATACTTGTTGAATTCGATATGAGTACATGCAGCGATGGAAGTAAATCCAATGTACTATTCTCATCATTATTCCACCGAATTTTAACAACTTTATTAGAAGAAAATGGTTCCAATAATTTTTCATTTTTCAGTTTGGCATTTAATAGTTGCTTTGAAATGTCCCTGGACTTCCCCGGCCCCTCTTAGAAATTTCCTTGTAAACTACTTGCACATGAACCAATTTTCCTACTCCACCTTTTTATTACACATTGGATTATCAAAAGTTGGATTCCTCGTGTTTGATATTTCAACTAAAGTAGATATGCATCTGAAAAAGACTTGAAGTTCGAGAGAAGGTTGTATAGTATTAAACCTGTGTCGACAGAGAAATTAGACTCTTAGATTCTACTTATTGTGTCAAAATATAGTCTTATACATCACTATCTGACCAGGAAACATGATTTTTAGTAGTGCTGATCTTCATTTGCATAAAGCGCTATGGATTTTACTTAGGCTAACAGTTATATTCTATTTTTATTTTTGATAACATGCTTTGTTTTCTTTCGTATGTTTTACTGGCTTCTACTTGTTTTGTCCCTTCAAATTTTCTGCCATCTAGTGCTGATAAGGTATCCTCTCATGCCTTTGATTTGCTTCCTTACTCCAATTGTCAAGCAATCCAATGTGTTGATGCATTGTTCCATAAATTCCTCTTCACTGCTCGGCCCACACAGACTGTAATAGTAGAGTTGCAAAATTAAAGGAAAAATCCATCTTGTAAAAAATGAAGAGTTTGAAAATTAGTGTTTTTCTGGTTGTAATTTTTCTTACTTGGAGAATATATATATTCAGTACCAGGTAAGTATAGAAGAGGGCTTTTTCTGACCCAAGACTAACACAGAAACCTCCAGCTTCTTCACTTGGCTCATTACAGTTGCCATCTTTGGTCCTTGTATTACTAGTGCTTCCACTTCAACCTTTTAATTTTTTTTTGAATATAGGGGCTGGAAGGCAGATCACTCTCACAAGAATATAGAAAGTCAACCCCCTTTATAGTAACTCTAGCATGAAGCCCACCTATAAGAAAATGAACTGAAAAGATTAGTTGAATCTGGAAATTTAAAGGGAATGAGCACCATTAAATGTAATAAAATCAGATTCATACAATAAAATTTTGGATTGTGGAAAAAAAATACTGTTCTTTTAGTTTTGAATTGTGAAGATTTTTGCCCTACTTTTGCATTTGCTATACACTAATTTATTTTTCCTTTGTTTGAAAATTTTCTTTGCAGGTCGACAAGAATTTTGTGGGTGCTGTTGGTAGCTCAAATGGTTATTATAGTATAAATCACCTAAAAAGACGGTATAAAGGATCTTTTGCATGTCTTTTGAACCAAAAAGATTTATAAATTTTTTAATGTAGTAGTTGCTTTTACCATTATAATTCATCTTTCCTCCTTTTGCCTATTCTCAATCAGTGTCATGAATCAGTGTCATGGAGGAGAGTATGGGGACAGTGTCATGAATCAGTGTAAGAGTGTAACTGTGAAAGTGCTGGCAAAACAAAAAAAATTCTCGACTATCAGCAGTTCATAATATACTAATAATGTGCTAGCATTATGTGAAGAAATACTAAAAGATGTCTACATTAACCTAAGCCTGCAGTTGGTTACAACAACAAGAACATACCCAGTAGTAGGAATATAATTTGGAATAGGATGTTTGGAAATGGAATACATTTGAGATGCAACACTCAAGAAAGTCAACTTTTAACATGCTAGGATGTTTATTTGTTTGGTTCTTTATTTTCGGTTTAAGTAAGGTCACTCTCTTTGTAATTTCTTCATTACTTGAGAGTGCCTTAGAAGCTCAGTGAGTATCCATTCTACTGATGTGGCTGAAGTGTCCATTGCTGCAATAAGCATGTCCTGTATATTGAAAAGGAAGCAGAATCAATATTAAAGATAGTTGTATTTTGAGCTTATATTGGTATATGAATAAGATACAAATACATATAAATCAGTGATGTAGGTAATATATTTCTACTGAATTTGTTTTCAGTTGCCATGTAGTTCCACATATAGTTTCATTGGTTACTTGTCCTACCTGGAATAATTTCATTGGTTACTTGTCCTCCATGTAGTTCCACATATAGTTGTAATCCCTGACTAGAATTTGGATTGTTCCTAGAGTATTATTGCTGCCATTAGTTCCTAATTGCCCAACTATACCCTTTTGTTTCTCTATCTTCTTAATTGAATAATTTTTGTATAGGCTATTAAAACGGGTCGAGATCCAATACCAAGTGAGTTGCATTTTCACGTCCATACTCATGGTAATGATGGAAAATCTTTTGTTGCTGAGAAATCCCGAACCGTACATGTAAGATAACTTTTTAGTTGACTTTACTTTCATATATTTTTTTCATTTTGTAAATTGAATGTTCTTATTAACTCTTCTACATGAAAAATATCAGAAGATATTACAACAACAAGCACAAACTCAATCTGATATTGATCAGTGTAAAGGATATTATCAAGCCGCGGGAGGAGAAAAGAAAAGAAAAGTATATGGTCTTGGATCGCAAGCAAAATGCTACTATGGGCCAAATCTTCATGGCTCTCTTGGATCTGATGCTACATCGTCAACAACACCTTCAAATTCTCAATCAACACCGACAGGGAATCTGGATGAGTTAGTGATGCGATTGATTCCTGCACTGACAGATCATATAGTTCCTATAATCGTTGAGCGGGTACGCGAATTAGTTTCCTTACCCTCACATCAGCCAAATACTGATATGGCACCTACAGTTCCAACATCTTCTACTGCTGCTAACATTGATGAGGTTCATGCATTGGGTTCTGATGATGACCGTAACTCTCCAGCCTAGCATAGTTAGCTTACTTTGTTTGGACATTATTGTTGGTCCTTGTGGATTTTTTGTACTTAATGATAATGTTATATGCATTATGCTATATATTTTGGACCTTGTTGAATTTATATTAATATCACTGACTTTTTATTAAGTGTATTTAATAGTTTATGTAATATGTTTGAACAGAGTACATTTAAAATAATAAATAATTTTTTTTATAAAACCAGCAATATAGTAAAAATAAATCAGCGACGGATACATTCCGTAGCTAAAATTATCGCGTAAAATTAAATCTTGCGATGAATTGGTGACAAAAGGTTTTTGTTGCAAAAAGAAGGGACAATAAGCTATAACACGGCAAGAGACGGAAAATTTCGTTGCTATAAGAACAAACGACGAATTTTATTATGTATTGCAGCGACGAAAGGCATCAAAATAGCGACAGAAACAAGCTATATAGCGACGGATATTTCCCTCACTAAACTTTGCTACAAAAATATGTCGTCGCTACTCCGTCGCTAATTCTGCGACGATTTGGTATTTTTCGTCGCTATAAGCCTAACAACGAGAACTTTATGGACCAATGTGACGACCCAAAGGGTCATCACCGGTTTCTAATTGAATTCTGTATCTTTGAAGACTTGAAAAACTCATTTAGGGTTGCCTCAATTTGCACGTGCAGTTCGGGCGCGTAGCCGGAAAGCTTAAATATGAAATTTTGTGAAAAATACTAAGTTTTGATATTAAAATGAAAAAGAAAAAAAATTGACTTCGGTCAACATTTTGGGTAAATGGATCCGGACCCGTAATTTGACGGTCTCGGATGGTCCGTAGGAAAATATGGGACTTGGGCGTATGCCCGGAATCGGATTCCGAGGTCCTAAGCCCGAGGAATGAATTTTTGAGTAAAATTATTTTCTTGAAGTAATTAAGGAAATTGGAAATAAAATTTGGTTAGAAGACTATGCTCTCGGGTCCGTATTTTGGTTCCGGCGCCCGGTACAGGTCTTATAGATGTTTGAAATCACTCTTGTAAAGTTTGGTTAAAAACAGACGTCGTTTGACGCGATCTGGACCCAAATTGGGGAATTGATGTTTAAAAGGGAAATCTAAGAAATTCCATTGATCTTGAGGCTTGATTCGATATTTATGATGTTATATTGATGATTTAACCACACGAATATGTTCGTAGAGTGTTTTTGAAGTAGTGTGCATACTTGGGTTAGAGCTTCGAGGGCTCAGGTGAGTTTCGAGTAGGTTCCGGGATGCCGTAGGCTTAAAAGATCAGATGTTGCAGGTTCGGGAAAATATGGTAGGCCTCTGAACCCTTTAGCGTGGCCTGCGAGGAATCGTGTACGGCCGCGGAGGGGCCAGCGCGACCGCGGTCATCTTTGCGCGGTCCGTGGTGGGTGCTGTGCGGCCNTAACTTTTCTTCTCCAAAATGATTGGTAGGTGATTTCTAACTCATTTTCTTCACTCCTTTACATCTTTTAATATGATTTCAACTTAAAATCAAAGATTTCCTTGGGGGAAAATGGGTGTTTTGGGTAGAACTAGATTTTTCTAAAAATTGGGGATTTGGACCTCAATTTGGGGTCCGATTTCAAAACAAATTATACATTTGGATTCGTGGGGGAATGGGTAAACGGGTTTTGGTCCGAACCTCGGGTTACGACCACGTGGGCCTAGGGTGATTTTGACTTTTTGAGTAAAACTTTGGGAAAACTCATTTTCATGCATTGGTGTTGATTCATTTAGCACTTATTGATGTAATTAAGTAACTTGTGACTAGATTCGAGCGGATTGGTGGTGGAATCAAGGGGTAAAGCTATAATTGAGGCTTGAGTAGTGTTCAAAGCCTCAAGGTAAGTATTTGGTCTAACCTTAGCTTGAGGGATTAGGAGTTGAGTCTTATTTGCTATGTGCTAATTGTCGAGTACGACATATAAGCATGGTGACGAGTATCTATACGTTGGTGTCTAGTATGACCGTAAGTCCTTATATTGCGGATATTCTGATTTTGTTGTATCTTCCATGCCTTAACGATGATTTTCTATATATTGTAACAAGCATGTGAAAGAAATTTTGATCCCTGCACTTCGAGGAGTGTTTGCTCGAGTTATAATACGAATTGTTAAAGTATACGAGATGATTGAACCCCTATGGAGCGTTGGCTCAGGTGGTAAAGTGAGATGAGAAGTGAAAGTGAAAGAAAGAGAAAAAAATTATTAAATTGCTCCTTCGCCGGGATGTTTGTTGTTTTGTTGATTATCTCCCTTGTCGGGAAGCTGAGAATATTGATATTGTTCCCTTGCCAGGATTTAACTGCTTAATTGTGTTCCCTTGCTGGGATTTAACAACTTAATTGTATTCCCTTGCCGGGATTTCTACCATTATTTGTCTACTCCCTTGCCCCTTTGTTTGTGATTGTTATGTGGGTGAGAAAGAGTATAAAGCACGAAGGGTGATGCCGTGCATTGTTTGCTATTGTGAGGAAAGAGTGTAAATCACGAAGGGTGATGCCGTGCCGCACGATGTACCATTCCGTGCCGATTTTATTGATTATAAGGTGAGGAAATAGAGTAAAAGCACGAAGGGTGATGCCGTGCATTTGTTGATTCCTGATTCCTTGTTGATATCCGAGTTATGTTGTTTCTTTCATTACTTGTGGTTATTTGATTTACTTCGAGGTTATAGATTCCCTTACCCTATTTGCCTTGTGATTGTTGTTTGGGTGAGGAAGAGCGTAAAGCACGAAGGGTGATGCCGTGTATTGTTTTGGTAAGAATGAGTGTAAAAGCACGAAGGGTGATGCCGTGCAAATTGTTGACTTTTGATTCTTGTTGATATCCTGGCTTTGCCACTTCTTTATGTTATTGAGGATTTCTATTTGAAACTGTTACCTCCCCACAACATGTTTCCCCCTCCCACATTGACTGGTTATTTCTATATCTCTTTTCCGCTGTATATATATATATATGTATATGAACCGCCTAGGTCTATTTGGAGTCTGGTTCTAGCCTCGTCACTACTTCGCCGAGGTTAGGCTGGACACTTGCCAGCACATAGGGTCGGTTGTGCTGATACTACACTATGTGCTCTTTTGCACTGATCTAGGTCTTGGACAGCAGTAGTAGTGCGGGGGTCATCCTTCAGTCCAGTGAGACACCGAGGTAGCCTTGCAGGCGTCCGCAAGCCCGGCATCTCCTCTATCTTTTATTCCAGTCTGTTATCTCTTATATTTCGAGACAAAACAGCTTATATGTTCTTGGGTAAAGGCATATGTTGATTCTCGCATTATTTTTTTCGTATTCTTTAATTTAAGTCTTCCGCATAATTATTTAAATTCCGTTGCTTTCATGTTGTCACTGATAATTGTCAAAAGAAAAAATTGTTAATGAAGTAAGTAGTTAAGGATTGGCTTGCCTAACTCACATTAGTAGGCGCCATCACGACTCCCGAGGGTGGGAAATCCGGGTCGTGACAAGTTGGTATCAGAGCCCTAGGTTGCATAGGTCTCACAACTCATGAACAAGCTTAGTAGAGTCTGAGGGATCGGTACAGAAACGTCTGTATTTATCCCCCCAGAGTCTGAGGGATTGGTATCGTGCGGATTTGTTCCTCAAATGCTAATTGAACTTCTACTCTGTTCTTCGCAGATGGTGAGAACACACGCTTCCTCATCTACCGCTCAGCAGCCCGAGCCCCCTGTAACAGCTCCCACTAGGGGCAGAGGGCGAGGCCGAGGTAGTGCTGGAGGCCGAGGTAGGGGCAGAGCTCAGCCCTGAACAGCAGCACCAGTGGCAGAGCCTCAGGTTGATTTTGAGGAGGAGGTTCCGGCCCCAGCAGTTC